ATCTCAGGAAAGAATATTTCGAGAGAGAAAATGCTTCCGATTTTTTTCCAGTGCCTACTCAGAAACATCACTGATTCCATTTTTTTAATTTTTTAATTATCCTACATCAATTACTGAACTATCAATTATGATGTTAATCTTACTTAGAAAGTTAAGGAGAAATTAGATGGTAATATTTTGAAAAATATCTAAGTATGCACACTTTTCTAACTTAAATTATTAAAATTTTTATTTGTTAAGAGACAAATTGACATTACAATCTAAAAACGTTATAAAAAAAAAAAAACATAACTTCATCAAAATTACGTGCTTTCCTTGCCATGTGAGTATGATTATGTACTCTGCATTTTCAAAAATTTTACAATTTCATTGGTTAAAATTCTATACTGTGTTGCACGCACAGCTAACCCTAACATGTATAATCAACTGAATAGAATTGTGACACCAACAACAAAGACAAGATTGTTACGAACAACCAGAATCACCACCATGTATGAGAGACGAATTTCGTCTCTCACTGTGATGTCATTTGTTGGTGAAAGAAGAGATGAGAGATAAGTGACCAGAATATGGCCCCTGGTCTCTGGAACATAGCTTATAACTCTATCCTGCACTTAAACGATACCCTGCCTCCTGACTGCCACATACAGGATTATGCAGACAACACAATTATCCTAGCTTCACACAGGAATATTGAACACTTACAGGACATATGCAACATCATTCTCAATAATATTCACCAGTGGAGTATTAAGCATAGGCAACCCATTAACATAGACAAATGAGAAAGCATGATAGTTGGTAGGAACATGCCACTTGTTAGAAAGCTTACCCTTTGAATAGATGCTCACAGAATAAAGCAAACAACGGAAATTAAATATTTAGGTGTTATTCTTGACAAGAGACTTAACTTCACACCTCACATCAAATACACCATGGACAAAGCTAAGAAAACGGTCAACACTCCTCATTAGTATTGCTAGGAACACATGGGGCTTTGGCCCTGATGCTACTAAGCTTATTTATAGGAGTGCAATTCATCCAGCACGCCTCTGTGTCATACAGGTCTGGGACCACATGGCTGCTAAAGTCCATAACCATAAAAAACTTATCTGTTCAAAGGATTGCAGCTCTCTGCATCTGTAAGGCTTACAGGACCACACCCACTAGTGCCCTTTTGGTAATGTCAGGGTTGACCCCTATCAATTTAGAAATTAAATGCATTATTTGGCAGGAAAATCTCGTCACCTTACCCTGGCAAGATTATAGCAACTCGAATGTCAACAAAATGATTATACAGTAGGTAAGATTCCCCCCAGTTTGACCTTGATCAATATAAAAAAAAATTCAGCATCGACAAAAATACCCCCCGAGTTATGATTACTACTACTCCCAACAGCTTGTCCCTGACATTTACTTCAAAGATCCAGGTGATCATTCCATGTTTAGGATTTACACTGACGGTTCCAAGATAGGTGATGTGGATGCTGCTTTTGTAGTTTACTCTGACTTAGGCTGCGAGCTTCACAATGCTTGCTTCCGTCTAGGTACACACTGCTCAGTAGCACAGGTTGAAACTTTAGCTATTTATATGAGCTTAATTCACATTAGGCATAGGAAGTACAAAAGACACTACTTATACTATTGCATTTATTCTGACAGTAGGGTAGCTTTACACAGGATTGCAAAGTATCAGACTTTGCAATCCTGTGTAAAGCTCATATCACTTTGCAATCATACACCACACTATCTCATACATGGTGTGGTATATGAGACAGATGCTTAAAACTTGTCCATCTCATACACCACATTCTCAGACATTAGAATAGATTTCCAATGGGTTCCAGGTCATGTTCTCTGCAATGAGACTGCCAACCGTCTTTCCAAAGAAGCTGCAAAGTCTTCAGTCACTAGTACTTTCAGTTACATTCCTACCATGTACAGTACATCAACAATCACGTTAAGAAACAAATCTTCATTCTCTGGCAAGACAGCTGGGACCATGACACCACTGGTAGGCTCACCTACACTTTCATCTCAAAGGTTGACACTACTGCAATTCTTTGCCATTTTTATCTTAGTTACACCCTAACTCAGATACTTACAGGACACGGCAACTTTAAGTAATACTTGCATAGATTTAACCTTGAGGACAATCCACAATGCAATTGTGGTTTCAGGAGGATCAAACATCATTTCACTTAATTTTTCACTGCAATAGGTACAATCAAATTAGGGATAGTTTAATGAGAGCTGCTTTTCTTGAAGGGTACAACTGGTTCTTGCAACATGCACCAACTGCCTTGCTATGTCCCCAGAGTGAGTACTCTTTACTCACTCTGGGGACATAGCAAGGCAGTTAGCTTTCCCTTACTCAGTTTTTTCAACTGTCAATATATAGCTGCCTTTCAACTTTGTATTTTAATTCTTATTTTCCATCTTCTTTCAGTCTAAATTTGATTAGTTTAATAAATAAAGAACTTACTGGATAATGTATAACTAAAAAACACAACATCTTATTAATCCCAGCAATATTTAATAAGATAATAACATTTTTTACTGTTTTAAACAGCCGAAAATGTGTGTGTGTGTGTTGTTCACCCTCTTTGAAGCACAGGGACAAATTTCTGAAATTTTGCAAGGAGGTTTGTTTATTAGGAGGATTGATATTATTAAATTTTGGTGATTTGGTGAGTGAGTGAGTGGGTAAATGCAAGTCATGTCTATTTCCAGAAAGGTCAGTCTTAATGACAATTTTACTCATTATTAGAATTCATAATTTTTTTTTTATTATAAAACCCACCCATACCCTCAAAATTAAGCTTTTTGCCATTTTATAATAGTTAAAAATAAAATATCATAACAGATGGTGCCACCAAATGTTACCAGGAAAGTTAAGAAACTTGTTGCTGAATTTTTTTTTAATAGAAATGCTTTCTGTATGTTCTGAAATGTCACAAACAGATTTGGTTGCCTTTGGGACTGATAAATCTCTCTCTAGACAGCATTCAATAGAGGCACTTTAATTACAAATAATTACAATACCAAATAATTTAGAAAATTCTGAAAGAAAACAACAGCCTGGAGTAGAACTTCAAAACCCACAATTGCTAAACGGATGCAGCAGTAGCAAGTTCAAATCCCACTCTAGACTGATTCTTTTCTTTCAGAATTTTCTAATTATTTAATAAATATTAATTTAATTATAATTATTAAATCAAATGTATATTATGCAATTTTAAATATTGGTAAGTATGTTATAAGCACACATTAAAAATGATTATTTATAATGTAAATATAACAATAAAACTTTTAAATACAGCCAAACCTCAGTTTTTGAACATAATTCATTCTTAAAGTTGTTCTAAAACCAAATTTTTTCATAAGAAACAATATAAAATGATTTATGATGGCTTTTCTTTTCCATTAGACTTATTACACCATCAATTAAAAACAGGACAATCTTTAGAAAATCACATTTTTATTTCCTAGAGTATGCATTTTGGACTTTGAGTTCGAAGTCCAAAATGCATACTCTAGGAAATAAAAACCTTTTTAGCTGTATTTCATGTCTAAAAATGCCCACAAGTACAAGAGAGTATTATATTATATATAATAAATTCTTGTTATTTAATTTGACTTAAGCATGTTTAAACACTTTAAACAAATTCTTGAATGCCATTTATATTATGTGGATGTCAATTAATGTAGTTTTTATTAATTAATTTGACTTAAATTCAACTGCAGTGAATACCAAAAAACAAAAGTAGTATCTTTCCGCATACACATTGAAATCTAATTTTAATAGTAATGTCATCAATGATTTGTGTCATGATATTTAATGATGAAAAGCAATTTCAGCTCCACTAATTTCTGAATCAGTAGTCCTGTCATTGTTGATTGGGCCATCAATTTTCTTTAACGTAAAAAGTATAAGGAGTTCATCATCTGTTTTTCTCTAATCTGTGACTGGCTCTTGTCAAGTAGCTTGTTTGGCAACTGAGTTGCCATAGGACAACCAGTGCAATTATGAATTTGAAATTCTTTTCATGAACCAATTTATTCAAAAAGTGAGCTGTTTGAAAACAAAGGTTTGACTGTATATAATAACATGATGATTAATATTTAATTATTACCCAGCTAGACATTTCTTAACTTTATCATCATCTTATCTCACTGAGAATTATTTATTAACTGTAACAAATGTTTTCAACCTATTCTACAGGCCATCTTCAAGTTTTTAAAAGCCATGGAAAATTAATAACTGTTCTTTTTGAATAGAACATATTTAAAATACAAAATTATTTGAAATATGGAGAAAATTTGAAACAATAAATTACAGTAATATATATACAACTTAAAATAACAAAATAATAAAATAAAAAGAAATAAAAAATTACATTCATAATATCAGTTTTTGATTAATGTCAAATTGATGTGAACACAACACAAAAGCAAAACAACCATGAAACCTAGACACCTCATGCTCTGTGATTTCATCCCCTTGACACTTAATGATAAACAACATAGTAAGCTGAACTTTTAATACGGTTTTCATTTTAACATTAGTTATTAATTTTTGTATGAGCAGTGCTGGATATCTGTTAGATAATTTGCAAGTTAAAATTATATAAGAATAAAATTATTATAATTAACAGAAATTTAATTTAAAAACATACAGGATTTGTTTTACATTATTATTGTTGTTCTTAATTATGCAATGCTTACTTACATAACAATGCAATAAATTTAAATTATCACAAAGTGTAAAGGAGATGACACAAAAGGAATTGTGCAGAATGTTCCAAGTTTTGTGGTAGGCTGTATTTTCTGCAGGATCTTAGTAACTATAAGAAATTTCATTTAGATTATTTTTTATTGTTTGTCCTTATTACTTTTGCTTAGGCAGTGCTGAGCATATATCAGCTAGTACAATATAATTCTTATTATCTCATATTTTTTATTAACATCAAAATTTAAGAAAAATAAATTTGACTTACTATGAGTAGTTAAAGGTTCATGATCTTTCAGTATTTTTCCAGCAAATATCAAACATAATTGATCAATAGGAGAATTAACCAGTTTTGAGATTTCTTCTTTGAGCTAAAAGTAAAAAACTCCAAATTATTTTACATTTCTACATTTAAAATTGTCATTTTTATGGCAATATATAATTTTTTAAAACTTTGTATACATCATCTATTTAGTAAATTAAATATATACCTACTTAAAAAGTTTTGAAATATCCGAAACATTTAGAATATACCAACAAATTTTAAAATTTGTTTTACAAAGATTTATTTCAACTTTTATATATCATTTTCATACATCAGATACAGAACAAAACACATTTTAGGAAGGCAATCTTATCCTTTTTTGATACTTGTCCATACTGGATGCATTCCAGTATATTTTACTTATTGGAATCTACCCAATACAAACAACTATCAAGCAAAACATACTGAATTCTTTGAAAACAGGTTGTATTTTGAAGTGTTATTCTCAAAACATTTTCTGCATATTATAAATGTCAGATTTGTTTATTCCAATTATAAACCCACATGATCTCACCTTCACTAGAACAAATCTAGTGAAGGTGAGATATTATACGAGGTATAAAGAACATTATGTAGAATCACATTGTATAATTAGTGTGTCTATAGCAATATATGATTTATAAATATTATGGGTGTATCAGACATTAATTCATCTTCAAAAATAAAATATAAATTTAAAATTAAAACATTCAGAGTTCAGAAACATTGAGCACATAAAAATATTTTTCATAACATTCAAGTTATTTAATACGGAATTTTTTCTAAATGAAAATTATAATAAAAAAATTGTCAAAATAATACAAAAAATGAATTGCTGTTTTTAAAAATATTAAAAAAAAAATGTCCATAACAAAATCAGGATATGTAATGAATTCAAAATCTGTAATCCTTCAATAAGATTAGAACACTAGTATATGCGACTTAAAAGCTTAGATATCTTGACAGATTAAGTGAATCACTTTCACAAACTGATAAAATTATCAGTATTCAATAGAATCAATGCAATTAATAAGAATCAATTAATTTCTAATGCTATATTCACAAAACACAAACTATATCGAAAACCAAGCCCAAATTATAGTAATATATGATAAGAGCCTGATAATTAATTTGGCTTCAACACTTGATTTTCACAAAATACAATTTAAAGAATTCTAATATTTATTACATCTTCATTTAGAATAAATTCAGGAATTAAACAGACTACTCAAAAATCAAAATTTCTTATGAACATATTAGCAACTATGCATATCACTGGTGTGATATATGAAGTACTATCCAAACTTCACAAAATATGTCTGTAAAAACATAGTTATCTATCATACACACTATTCTCCATTGAAATCACCAAGGCCATAAGCCAGATATAAAGCCTTAACAGGAAGTGTCCTAACTGCCCGTTAAGGCTTTCTTTCAGTGTCCTTTCAGTTTTTTCTTTCAGTGTCCTTTCTTCCAGTGTTTCTTTCAGTGTCCTAACTGCCTGTTAAGGCTTTCTTCTTTGTCCTAACTGGACACTTCCAGTTAGGACAAAGAAGAAAAAACTGCACTATCAGTTTTCATTAAAATAAACCTGACAAAATAAAAAGCACAAAATAATTTGAAAATTTCAATATGCTAAACTCCATGTGTAAATTTGAGACATGTGTGCTTACATGAATAAAAATATTGAATAATAAAGTTTACACTTAAAATTGTAAAATTCTATACAGAGGATTTCCAAAACAGTGTTAGAGTGAAACCAGAAGTGTTGTATGGAGGATTTCCCAATTTTCCAACTGTATTGTTCAAAGGATACCTGTATTTGTAAAATTCATTGCATGTAGTCTATGCACAAAAGTGACTACAGAATAATACATGAAAAACCTAAGTATCATAATGAATCAACTACATGTGCAAAGTATAAAGTTGTCATATATTTTCAATCAGCAGTCTCCAAAAGCACTTCAAAAGTAGCCAAAAATGTTATACAGTAACTCATCTATATATATAAAAATGAATGTATGTCTGTGTGTCTGTCCTTCATGCATTACTACACCATTTATCCGATTGCCGTGAAACTTTGGGAAATTGTTTAATATACTCCGGCGAAGGTTTGTGGCATAGTACGATTGCCATGAAACTTTTGGAAAGTTTTTTAATACACTCCCGCGAAGTACATTTATCCTACGATAGATGGCGCGCGTTTACACGAGCATTCGAGCACTGTGTGTTAGATCGATTTCAAATTGTGAAGACCATTTCTCCCCCTTCAAAAAATATCTGTATATATGCATTTGTGAACTGTTATTTATGATATTTGTAATAATTTTTGTTTAATCACTTTATTTCAACTATTTTTTGCTAATTATGTATTCGCTCAAACTTTGTTAAAACCTTAACCGTATTCCGAACAACAACCGAAGTTGTAAGAGGAAATTCGCCTATTTTATCGATCTAGGATCCCCCTTTCCCAAATTTTAATATCGACTCAAAATAATTTTAAAAAACAAATTACAATATAACGGTTTATTATCTATTACTATCAGAAATTTCACAATGTGCCAAGGAAGAGAGGAAGGAGCAATTAAATAATCAAAATTATAAAGGATTAAAAAATATATAAAAATGAGGAATATAGCACTTCTAACAATCTCTGCGAGTATGTGGGCTAAATTTAAAGAATCTGTGCTTCTCACATGTACAGTACAACTGTATGTGGCCTGTTCACGCGCCGGAAAACCTTCTGATTTATTCGTGTACGCATCAGACGGAAAAACAAAAAATATCGTGTATCCACAAGCACTCCAATAAATAAATAGAATTGAAACGACACTTTGAAATATTTTCCCAATTAAAATGAATAATAATAATAATATAATAATAAGTTTCAATAAAAATGATAAAATGTAAATTTAATTTTATCATAACGAGTTTGCTTGAATTTTGTTTCTTCTGAGATTGCAGCAATGCGCGATGGGTAAGCTAGTACAAAATAAAATTAAATATGTACATTCTGACCACACTTTGTTTCTCTGTGTACTGGTAATAACAATTTTAAAGCAATTTTGGTATTTTTGAAACTGTGCCAGTAATTGTTTAGTAATTCGAACACAAATCACTTTATTTAAAGCAATTATCAAAATTAGCAATTATGACCAACAAAATGTCATACAATTAATTCTATTATATATCATAGCAAGATTTAAATATAAATAATGTTATTCCTTATAAAATAATATCTTGCTTTTTTCTGTATTTATGAAATTATATAAATATTTGTTTACTAGACCATTTTCCACAGATTCATCAAGTAAAAATATTATGAATAATAATTATAGTAGAGAAATAGATAAATCTTGGTACAAAAAATATAATAGATTATAAAAAGAATGACATCATGAAGTAATGAAAACACAAACTCAAAGATATCTTTTAAGAGTACAAGCAATTACTATATACAAGCAAATTTGAATGGTAGAGATATTAATCTCCCTTTTTTGGAAAACAGATTAGTACAGTGATTCCAAAACTTTTTGAGCCACCTCCCTCTTAGTTCCAATAAACTTATATCTGATGCCCCGAACTATATCCCAAATACCCCTAACCCATTTTTCCTTGTGTGAAAAAAACTTTGAAATATTCTTAGAAAAACTTTTATATGAACATCATACTGTGTCTTTACCATACATTGTTCTCCATAACTGGAAACCATTAAATGCAATGTTTCTTCTTACCTATTTTAATGGATGAAAGGGACTGTTCAGTCAGTTCCCTAACTCCAGTGCCCCCTGCTTCTTAGCACCCCCACTCCCTAGGGGCAATAGTGCTTGCTTTGGAAACCACTGGGCTAGTGGTTGAAAAAAAAAACTGTTGTTAAATTGTAATTTTTAAAGAAATTGTTGTTGGAAAAAATAACTTAAGATGTCAAAGAATAAGTTTGTTGTTAAACAAGGAATTATAAGTAGCTATGTATTATGTTATGAAATAACTGAATGTTTTAATGTAAAATTTTTTAGGAAGTTATAAAAATTATAATGTATGAAAAGGGACAGATATACACAGTTTAGTTACAACTTCTGAATGAAAAGAACTGAATAAAGTTGAAATGCGTTTCACTATAAGTAAAGAATATTGCTGATGATATATATATATATATACAGTAGAACCTCGAAAACTCGACCTAATGTGGACCGAAGGGTGGCCGAGTTTGTGAAAATGCCGAGTTATCGGGAATGGGGTTAAAAAAAATAAGTATGAGTATTTCCTCAGAAAATACTGTACTGTACTTGTATGTATTGTTTACTTGAGAATATAACAGAGAATAAACTGCCCAAATACCCTTAAACAAAGGAAAACTATGTACTTTATGAAGGCTACGTACTTTACTACATGAAAATGAAAATTAATGAATACACTGTGTACAGTAATTTACCTGATAAGACAGACCTCAGAAAAATACTTTGAGAGCTTTTATACTTTTATAAAGCTGTCTATAATGAAAATTAATTAACTAAGGATTTTTTTAGCCCTGCCAAGGTGTGGACCAGTTATCCGGAGTGCTAAGTTATCGAGGGACGAGTTTTCGAGGTTCTACTGTACATAAATAAAATTACTAGAGTATGATGAATTTGTAAAAATAGATCTAGTAACCCTTGTAGTAAAGTCTAGTAAAAGATGTTCTGAATTTATACTCAAAACCCTTGTTTAGATTACAGCCTATATATGAAAGCATCTTATCCATGAAGAAGTCAAATATCTTTAAAACTTTTTGCTTTTGCAGCTTACACGTGAGAGCAACTTACAGATAAGGTTTTAATCTTTTCTATGGTGCAAGGTCACATAGGCCAAGTTGCACCATAAAACACCAACAAACAACCTACCTTTAATCTTTTCTTCTAATGTTAAAATTAAAACACTTCAAAACATTAGGCATGGCAAAATTTATTGATATTATACAAGAAAAACATTGTCTTGTATGATATAGAATGAGGTAAATATTGAATATTCATCTTATCACTTTATTCAAGTTATCTTCTTTTTTCAATTTGATTGAAATTATCTTTTCTA